GAGGAGGAGGAGGAGGAGGAGGAGGAGGAGGAGGGAGGAGGATGTATGGAGGAGGAGGAGGAGAGGAGGTATGGAGGAGGAGGAGTTAAGGAGGAGGAGGAGGAGGAGGAGGAGGAGGAGGAGGGAGGAGGAGAGAGAGGAGGAAGGAGAGGAATGAGGAGGAAGAGCAGGAGAGCAGGAGGAGCAGAGAGGAGGAGGAGGAGCATTAGGAGCAGAGGAGCAGGAAGGAGCAGAGGAGCAGGAATGAGAGGAGGAGGAGGAGGAGGAGGAGGATGAGGAGGAGGAGGAGGAGGAGGAGGAGGAGGAGGAGGAGGAGGAGCGAGGAGGAGGAGGAGGTCTGCCTCACCGCCGACGCCAAAGTTGCCACTGAAGGGGAGCAGCGCGAGGCGCGCCGCCGCCGTCGTCGCGGTCTCGACAGCCTCTGGGGCGCGCCCTCCAGGGGCGGCTCTCGTCGTGGCTCGGGGGGCTTTTGGCGGGGTGGGCCCCCAGACATGGCTCATTTTGATTCCTCCGATTCGATTCGATTCGATCTCGATGGCTGCTGACTCCGACTCCATTCGATTCGGGGCTCCGATCTGGGCTCCGATCTCTCCCATTGGAGGTATACTGGCCCGCCGATCTCCGCCGATCCGACTTTTCCCAGCTCGGCTGCCGACCTCCGCCGACCCGATTCCTTCCGATCGCCGATCGGACTCGTCGACTCGAGGCTGGGCTCTCCTGCCCGTGGCAGGGCTGGGCGGTGCGGACAGTTCGGGCGCTCGCCCGCCGACGACCATCTCTGCGATGAAGTCGGGCCGGTCCCTCTACATGACGAGCCAACAACACACACCCATACCATAGGGGGGTCGGAGGGGGCTATGGGTGCGTGTTGCCGGATGGGGGTCCCCGCTCGAACGGGAGCGTTCCCCAGGGTCCGACAACCCGCACCCATACCCATAGCCAGTCCTCCTCCCAACGACCCCCCTATGGGTATGGGTGTGTGTTGTTCGTTCGTCACTACAGGAGGAGAATTCGAGAATAGTGAAAAAGGTAGTCTGGGGAAGATTTTCCGATTATGCTTTTACCATGTTAGAGTATTCTTGGACAATTTTCCATTTTTTCGTCCCAAATCCGCCTGTAGGGGGACACGCCTGATCTCAACCTACGACCCACCTACGGGACCACCCCACCTGCGACCCATCTGCGACTTAGTGGGTCGTATAGGCGGGCTGGTGTCCATTCGCTCTTTGGCAAGCCTGGGTCTTGGCAGAGCACGAGGCGTCGCCGGCGCTGGTCCTCGCTTCGTCCACGGGGGTCCTGGCTGGGGTACCCCCCCCACACCCAGCCAGGTTGTGCTGTCCTCATCCTCAACATCAACTTTTCGGAGCTCCTCGCCGACTTCTTGGAACTCTGCTGGAGCGGGGTTCAGCGCAGATCCAAGAACTCCGCGCGGACTTCCAAAAGTTTCAGTGGAAGTATTTTTCCTTCCTCTACCTTCTCTACCTTCTTCTCCTCCTCCTCCAAAGATGATCGGGTGTCGCCTTGGTCAGTTCGTTGTGCTCCTTGGTCTTGCAGAGTGCTTGTGCCATGCTTGTGCGTTGCGTATGGGCTGACGGTGAGCCTCATGAGGTCTGAAGGTCTGAAGGTATCCTCATCATCTTCGGCCGGCGCTGTGATCGGTTGAGTCCCCTCGCCCCAAGTGGGGAAGCCGGTAGCTCTCAGTATTGGTGCACACTTTGCTTCGGGTCCGATTTAGGAAGGGGTCAGAGAGTCTACCCACGATCCGCGGCATGGCCATGGCTTCTCCGGAGGGCCGCCCCGACTGCTTGGCGGACCTGCTGCGAACTGGTGGTGCCCGCAGTGTGCAGTGCAGGGCAGAGTGCAAGGTCTCGTTGGAGTGCCGTACCGAGAGGCGCTCCTGCATGTTTGATGCTCCCCAGAAATTGTCGGCGTTTCCGAGCACGCGTTCCTGTTCATTGCCCTCCACGCCATCATCTGTCTCTCTTGCAGTCGGGTCCATCTGAACAGGTCGGCCCTGCAAAATCAAGGATGCCTTCGTGTACTGTCTATCGCATGCCATATCGTTTTCATGTCTGGGCACGGTTTGCCCTGGGCAGAGGCTGGTGTCCTCTCTGGGTGTCCTCAGAAATCGGTCCTGGCTGCATACTGTTCCTCATCCTTGCCCAGCCTCTCTTTGTCCAGCTTTGAGGGCCAGGTGGGAGGGCAAGGAAGGCGTTCTCTCTTTGAACTGTCCTAACATCCAGAGCTTACAGCTGGTGCATCCGCAGCCTTGGCTCAAGGTACGTACAACCTTCGTACCAATGCACTCTTCAATGTAGCCGGTCGCTGGAGGCTTCCAGTTCCCCTTTCTGTTCGAGGACAAACGGAATCAAGATTTTCGATCGTCGTTGAGCCTCTGGAGCCATGTGTTTGCTTCTGCGAACCTCTTAAAGTCACCCCTGCTCTCGTCCCTTTTCTTGTTCTGCACTTTCGGCTGAGTTCTTGGAGTGGAAGAGGATGGGTGGGCGAAGATGGGTGGTGGTCTGTCCAGAAGTGGAGAGGAAGGGCAGGTAGAAATGGCAGGAGGATCTGGCCAGGTTGTAGATCGCAGGGGAGCAGAACTTATTACGGGGACAGCTCGACATAGGCTCAGCTTGCCTGATTCCAGATCATCTGGCAGGCGCACGAGGATGCATTATGGCGGTCATGATGATGATGCTGATGATGAGGTTGATGATGCTGCTGCTGCTGATGATGATGATGATGATGCTGATGATGATTCTAATGTTGATGATGGTGGTGGTGGTGGATGATGATCGTGCTGGTGGTGATGATGCTTGTAAGATAAAGCATGCGTGACGTGTGTATACGCACCACTCGCCGCCACTCGCCGCCGTTTGACCTCTAGGGGTCCCTTTTTGCCATTGCGCTTAAACGTATCATAATCACACTGGTAGCGGAGCTACCACACGATCCCCGTATCGTACCACTTCGCGAACGTCTCGTCAGAGAGTGTAGCACAACCTTTCTTTCTTTTCCGTACTGGCAATTTCCTTCGCTAGGGGACTGAGCCTTGCGCCATGGCACTTTCTTCTCTTTGATATCGGCCGAGCGCCGACGCGCTGACGCGGTCCGAGACGAAGAGCAGCTCCCACATCTACGACGTCACAGTGAACAACTTCCACGAGTGGGAATTCCGCACAGAGATGCGCATGAGCGCCGCCTTGGCCTCAGTGGATCAAGAAATGGGTGCACCACAGCAACGCGTGATCGCCGCAGCTGTCAACAAGGTTGTAGAAGGCCTCAGAGGTGACGCGTTCGATATTGCCATGGATATCGGTAAGGACGTGCTTCTGACTCCGAATGGGATCGACCAGCTGGTGCTGGCGATTCGTACTTCACTCTTTTCCCATAGAGGCACAGGAAGCGAAGATCCTGTTGCAGGTGGGGCAGAGACCATGTGGACCACTGTCACGGCAGCACGGTGAGTCTATGGTCTCGTACATCTCCCGAAATAAGTGCTGGAGGTAACTTGTCTCCAAGTTAGATCCGAAGGTCTTGATGAGTGACGATGTGCTTGGATCCCTTCTCTTGGACCATGCAGGTCTCTCGCCTTCGGAGAACCTGATGGTGTTGACATCCGCAGGAAATGTGACAACCTTCGACAAAAACAATGATGTCTTGATCCTTCAGCACGGCCGTATACACATCCGCCAAAAAGGCAAGGGTGAGTCCGGTAAAGGCTCCAGCGCTTCGACGTGGACGCAGCCCAGACCCAGCTACCAGAACAGGAGCAAGGACAAGGGCGACGCGCGCTTCTCCAGGCCATAACACGCCTTCTACACGGCTGATGAAGGATAGTACGATCAGGAGGAGCATTACCCTGAGGAGCTGGGACCCTACGGATATTACGCGTCCGGCTACGCGCCAGAGCACGGCTGGGACGACGCGGCCTGGGGTGACTACGCCGACGAACACACCTACGTTGACGAGGAATCCTATGCTCACTGGGCTACTGTCCAGGATAGCAGCGAGCTCGACGTTGAGGTGGTCGACGAGATGGTCAAGGCTGAATATGCAGAGGAAGAAGCCTCTGACGCGGTCCAAGAGGACCTGGTAGCCAACCTTGGCACCGAGGGGAGGAGCAAAGGCAAAGGAAAGAGCGGAGGCAAGAGCTACCGCTGCACGCCCTGGTCGCCTAAGGGAGGCGGCAAGGGGGGACCTTCCCTGGAAGATCGCAATAAGCGGCTCCAGGATATCAAGAAACGCTCGAAATGCAAGACCTGCCGCGACACGGGCCACTGGCCCGGGGGCCGTGAGTGCAAGGGCAAACCCAGGGCGGCAATGGTAGCGCATGCTGGAGACGCAGGCGAGCGCCATATCCAGTTGCGCGATGACGACGACGAACGAAAGTTCACATATGTCAGTTCTGTTGCTGTATCACCATCAATCCCTCATCATATCATTCGTGACAAAGGGGGAGTCGATGAGGACGGACTCTGGTGTTTCTCGTTTCTGCTCTTTTTTCTCTTCTCGCATCATGTGTCGCAGGGCGTGTGTGTATGAGGGGGTGAGTTGTGAGGGGCAGTGTAGCTTGCAGCGCAACCGCGTTGAGCACCATGTCTGTGGGAGTTGCATGGGGATGACCGAAGCCACTCTGGTTCGGGGACCTCCAGAGCTTCAGGAGAAAGGTCTTCAGACCTCTACAGAGGCTGATGGGGGATACACTAGGGTTCATGGCTGTTCGCTCGACCGAATCTTGCTCTACGGCTAGTGTTTCTGACGGGGAATTCGAGGAGGGGGAATCTGTTGCGAATCATATCTCTGTTCCTGGTCAGGATGCAGTGTTTGCCTCGGGTCAGCGCGAAGGGCTTAGCTATGGTCGCTTTCTCAGGAGTTTTCCAGACTACGTAGATTGGGGTCGCAAAGTAAAGAAACCGTGCGAGGATCTGGTTCTATTCTTAGGATGGGTTGATCTCAACTTTATTCGGAAGGAAGACGGAGAGTTTGTTGGAGTTTCGGGGCCGAAAGTTTCCAATGACAAAGTCTTGCTCTCTTGGAGTTCTTCTTCCGGCTTGAACAGGACACGTCCGGGTCTCCCGTAGCTTCGTCCATATGCTCGAGGGTGTAAGAGTCTCTCAGGAGTTGGTTCTAGTGCTCGTTTCATTGTTCGCACCTGCAAGGATTGCGGTCGTGAGACCAAGGGGGGGAGGTGCGCGGCGCTGCGCTCCCAGGGTGAGTGTCCGCACGATCTTGTAGATGGCCGTGGCAGCGCTCCAGACGTCGTTCGGGCGTATTGTTGTCGTTGTTTGACATATACTGAGGAACAGCGCAGGAAGCTATCACAAGACAATAATGCAACGGCAAAGAAGGTTGAACGCTCCAGCAACATGCGAGCAGAAGCAATCGAGAAGATTATTGAGGATGATCGCCGTATCACCTCTGTAGACTTAAAGGTTGTACTGAAGGCGTTCAACGAACGTGCCGTTGAGACTTGTAATGATACAGGTGGCGCTAGTGCAGCTGAACTTACTTCGTTGCTTCGTGACTGTATCGCAGAAGTCACAGATCGCAGTCTTGTCGGTAATATGGCTCCAGCGCAGAACGTTTCGACTGAAGTTGCAGCTCTTCCTGAGATTCGTGCGGTTGACGTCTTCAAAGATGAAGGTGTTTGGGTTGTTCTAGACGAGGGTTGTAATTCTTGTTGTCATGGTGGGGCCTCGGCTCATAGCGCAGAGGGGCAATTCGAGAACTTGGGTTTCTATCCTAAGTGGGTCCACAGACGGCGTAAGACGTGCAGCGGTATTGGAGGACAGGCAGGGAGTGAGACGACAGGTAAGAATAATTTCCCGTTTCGTATCGTTGCTTCTCGTGGCGCCGTGAGTGGGCGTCTCGAGTCGCATCGGTTGAAAGATTCGGATCGTGTTCCTCTCTTGTTACCCCTTCCTGCGCAGGCTTCTTTCGGTCTCGCGAAGGATCTTGCTAATGGTCGCGGTCTCGTGAGTCGGGGAGGTGCGTTAGAAATGTGTCGTTGTGCACGCTCAGGTCTTCTTGTCGTTCGTCTTGCTCAGTTTGATCCTAAGCGCGTTGCGGATTCCATTTCGTCCGTTGCACATGTCGTATCAAAGCAGCTGCCCAGCTCCCTTCGGCCGCGCCGCGCCGCCTGCTGTTGTCGGTCACTGCGGCGACGACGGGATCACGTGTGTGCCTACGCCCGTCGATCACTCCAGTGACGACGAGGCCGCGCGGGTCGCTGCCGTGGCTGCTGGTGCTGGTGCTCGCCCCAAACACAGGGCTCGAAGTTTGCAGTGATTGCGATGGGTTTGGAGAACTTCGAGAAGATCCCGAGGTACTCGGGGTCGTCGATGCTGAGAGAGTACATTCGCCGTCACCATCGCTCCAGTCATGATGTGACCACCAGGGGGCACGACGCCGTCGCTATCATAGATGCGCTCATTGCTGCAGATGAGAATATGGTGAACTATGATCGGTACGTGTTGGTGGAGACCGGAGCTCTGGACCATCCGACTCACACGCGCCACATCGGGCATCATCCGAACATCTTGCGCAATTCAGGTTGCAATAAACATTTTGTTGGCGTTGCTGAGTGTGTGGGGGAAAAGCTTCGGTGGAAAACAAGTCTTCGCAGTCTGTGTGTATTGTTGCTATCTGTCGTTCTGGTCGGTATCGCTCTGCAGTCAGGCATGGTATCAAGCAGTTCTTGAATCAGTATGACATCGAATCCAGTTCTGCGAATCTGTGCCGTCAAGAGTGGTCCCAGCAAGGGAATGCGATGTTTGGTGTCGCGGATCCGATTGGGGCCGTGAGATGGCGCGTACTGCGAATGACAGGATGGCCTCGCTCTTTGTTGAATCTTTCGAGAAGTTCAGTTCATTGCCGCCTCCAGTTCCGGTTCCATCTTCAAAGCGCAGACCCCGTGACGAGGCTGAGCTGGCCAGGAGGGGGGGAAGAGGTCTTGCGCTTCATCGATTGTGGTCGGCGAAGTAGACGACAACGACGTGGCCACTGTCATCCGTGAGCACATCAGAAAGATCTGGCTGGAACGTCTTGGCTCTGAATGCATTGATGGAGATTTCCAGGTACTGATGAGGCGATATGCTGGGAAAGAGCTGCAATTCTATTTGAAGGTCTGTCACGAGGTCAACGGGGCGCCTGCAGATTATGCGATGTGTACGTATTGCTTGTGAGTATGCAGAGACTGGTATTTCACCCAAATCTGTTGGTGGTAGTTCTTGCTCTGCTGCTGCACCGCCGCCGCCTGTCGCCGCGTCGTCTTCGGCCGCTGCGTCAACCCCTTCATGCCGGGCGCGAGATCCGCGAGACGATGGCGA